GGAATTTAAATTTTATTTTGTGTGAAATTTTAATTTGTTTTTGTGGCTAGGTGCTTATGTGTCACATTGGTTATTTGTTGGATTTTATTTTAATTAATTGTTGGTTTTATTTTATTGGTTGATTTAAATAGATTGTTTTCTTTACTTGTATTTTTTTTAATTAAATTAATTTGGCTTGTGTGTTTAAATGGATTAATTTAGTAATTATTAATTTTGATATAAATAAGTTAAATGAGTTTTGGTTATTACGTTAGTTAACTAGGGTCTCTAGGAAGATAGTGTGTTTAACCGACATGGATACATCTTGGTTGCTTTATAGCCGACTTGGGGTAACGTTAGGACTCTGTCTCTATTATTACAAGAATGAGGATTTTAGAATTTAAGTCTATAAATACAACCATTATGCTGTAGTCTAGGATTTACGCTCATAACTCATAGAACAAAAACGGGGAGATAATTCTGTAAAAACAAAGGGTGGAAGGAACAGAACACTATATGGGTGGCAAAGAGAAGAATAGAGGGGACCAAGGTGGGATTTTGGTGGACTATTCCAGATCACTAGGAGGCTTTACAGAGGTTCGTGTTGCCGGAACAGTGGACACGACGCCGAGATTTCATAATTGAAATCACAGGCAAGTTCTATTCTCTCTCTATCCCTTTGTCCTATGTTTTGTGCATACCTAGATGTCTCTAGGATTTTAGTTGAATTTTAATCTAATCTGGCATGCGAAATATATGTCAAGTTGATTATCAGTATGTATATGGTTATTTAAAACAATTCTTGAATGACTTGTGTTTGGTTTGTTTTAAGTTTACACATTGGTTCTGTTTTAATGAATGATTTAATTTGTATTATTATAAACAAGGGATTAGGATGTCATGGAATATATATATAACACTCCCCCTTGGGGTCCACAATACTACACTAAGAATATGCCTCGTTAAAACCTTACTAAGAAAAACCCAGTGGAACAAAACCCTAGTGAAGGAAAAAGAGTACAGTATCTTTGTGTATGGTATTGCATAGATTAAAACTGCCTCATTAAAACCTTGCCAGGAAAACCCAGTAGGATAAAACCTGGATGAAGGAAAAAGAGTACAGTATGCTAATACCTCTTTGATCAATTGTTCCCCCTCATTAGTTCAACCCCGAAGATCCTTTAGTTGACGCATTCCAATGTTGTCCACTAACTTCTTGAATGTTGTAGTTGGAAGCGCTTTAGTAAATAAATCTGCTAGATTATCACTAGAGCGTATCTGCCGAACATCGATATCACAGCTCTTTTGAAGCTCGTGTGTGGAAAGGAATTTTGGTGAAATGTGCTTGGTTTTGTCACTTTTTTATGTATCCTCCTCTTACTTGTGCAATACATGTTGTATTATCTTCATATAATATTGTTGGACTATCTTTGATTGAGGAGAGTCTACATGATTCTCAAATATGTTGTATAACAAATCTTAACCAAACACACTCTCTACCTGCTTCATGAATTGCGAGTATCTCAGAGTGATTTGAGGAAGTTGCAGTCATGGTCTGTTTCATAGATCGCCATGATATAGCAGTACCACCACAAGTAAACAAGTACCCTGTTTGTGATCGGGCTGTATGTGGGTTGGAAAGATAACCTACATCTGCGTATCCGATCAACTGGGGCTTTGATTTTCTTAAATAAAACAACCCCATATCAGTCGTTCCCCGAAGGTAACGCATAATGTGCTTGACTCCATTCCAATGTCTTCGAGTTGGTGCAGAACTATATCGTGCTAGTAAGTTGGTGGCAAATGCTATATTAGGTCTGGTACAATTGGTAAGGTACATTAGAGCACCGATTGCACTAAGATATGGTACTTCAGGACCAAGAACTTCTTCGCTTTCTTTCAGAGGGCGAAAAGGATCTTTCTTAACATCAAGTGATCGGACAATCATTGGAGAACTCAAGGGGTGAGCTTTATCCATATAAAAGCGCTTTAGGACTTTTTCAGTGTATGTTGGCTGATAGATAAGAATTTCACTTGGTAAATGTTCGATCTGCAGGCCGAGACAAAATTTTGTTCTACCAAGATCTTTCATTTTGAATTCTTTCTTTAAATAATTAGCAATCGTGGTGAGCTCTTCAGGAGTTCCCACAAGATTTAGATCGTCAACATATACAGCTATAATGGCAAATCCAGATCTTGATTTCTTGATGAAAATGCATGGACAAACTTGATTATTCACATACCATTCTTTTAGTAAATACTCGCTCAGTCAATTATACCACATGCTTCCGAATTGTTTCAATCAGTACAAGGATCGTTGTAGTTTGATCGAATACATGGTACGTGGTTTTAAGCTATTTGCTTCAGGCATTATAAATCCTTCAGGGAGTTTCATATATATGTCACTATCTAGTGATCCATATAAATAAGCTGTAACCATGTCCATCAGACGCATATCCAGTCCTTCTGAGACTGTCAAACTGATCAAGAAGCGAAATGTGATTGCATCCATCACAGGAGAGTATGTCTCCTCATAATTAATACCAGGTCTCCGCGAGAAACCTTGGGCTACAAGTCGGGCTTTGAATCTTACAATTTCATTTTTCTTATTATATTTCCTTATAAATACCCATTTGTACCCTACAGGCATGACATCTTCAGGTGTCTGGACTACAGGTCCAAATACTTCACGTTTAGTGAATGGGTTTAGTTCTGCCTGTATTGCTTCTTTCCATTTTGGCCAATCATTCCTACGTCGACACTCTTCAACGTTTTGAGGTTCAGGATCCTTATTATCATCTGCAATATCAAGAGCAACTGCAAAGGAGAATATATCGTTAATAATGACTATATTTCTATCCCACAATTCTCTATAGTTTATTGAGATCTCATTATTTTCAGGTACCAGTGCCTCTTCAGGGGCTTGTACCACTTCCAGGGCATATGCCACTTCCGGGGCATGCATATTTTCTGGGGCTACTTACTTATAAAATTTAGATTGATCAATCATTTTCGTTGTTCCTTTTGCAAGTGTGACCTCTTCAGGAGCGCCAATTTCTTTTGCAAGTGTGACCTTTCCAGGAGCGCCAATTTCTTTATTTGATTTCTCTTGTACTTTCTTCTTCCGGGGAATAATGTCTTTTGCACCGACTGGTCTACCACGCTTCTGGTGTGTCTTAGATGCATTTGCAACAACATTGACAGACAGTCCTATAGGGACATCAATTCTTGCTGGAATGTTTGCAACTGGTATATGTGATTTCATCACTTTCTTTGTGTCAATGAATGCATCAGGTAATTGATTTACAATACTTTGCAAATGAATGATCCTTTGAACTTCTAGTTCACATTGATTTGTGCAAGAATCTAAATGAGATAAAGTCGAGACATTCCAATTAATAACTCGTTGCTCTTCTGGCTTTTTTTTTTCTCCCCCTAATGGAGGGAAAACAGACTCATCGAAATGACAGTCGGCAAACCGTGCCTTAAAATTATCACCTGTCATAAGTTCAAGATATCTAATAATAGATGGAGAATTAAAACCTACATAAATACCAAGTCGTCATTGAGGACCCATTTTGGTGCGTTGTGGGGGTGCAATGGGAACATATAAAGCGCAACCAAAAACTCGTAAGTGAGAGATACTTGGTTATTGACCAATCACAAGTTGCAGTAGTGAAAAACTATGATATGCAGTTGGTCTAATGCGTACTAGTGATGCTGCATGTAATATCGCATGTCCCCAAGCAGAAACAGGTAGTTTAGTTCTCATGAGTAATGGTCTAGCTATTAACTGAAAACGTTTGATAAAAGATTCTGCAAGACCATTTTGGGTGTGAGTGTGTGTAACAAGATGTTGACATGCAATAGTCATCAAATGATTGAGATGTAAATTCTCCGGTATTATCAAGACGGATAGTTTAGATTGGATAATTTGGAAATTGTGCTCACAATCGGATTATTTGAGCAAGGAATCGAGCAAATGCAACATTACGAGTAGAAAGTAAACTTACGTGTGACCACCGTGTTGATGCATCAATTAAGACTATAAAATACCGAAATGGTCCACACGCTGGATGAATTGGTCCACATATATCCCTTTGAATTCGTTGTAAAAATGGTAGGCATTCAACGTCGACCTTGGAAGGTGATGGTCTGACTATTAATTTACCCTGTGAACAAGCGGTACAAGGATAATCATTTGCTAAAAGAATCTTTTGGTTCTTTAGTTGATGACCATGTGAATTTTCAATGATTCGGCGTATCGTTGTTGACCCAGGATAACCAAGGCGATTATGCCAAAGTATAAAAATATTTGGGTCGGAGCACTTCTGGTGCGTCACTGCATGTGACTCAATTACTCTTATATTTGTATAATATAACCTAGAAGATAAAGCAGGGAGTTTTTCTAATACATGCTTCTGGCATGTAATACAGAGATATTCAACGCCCCCTTCATTTATAGTCTCAATATGATAACCGTTGAGACGTATATATTTAAAACTTAATAAATTTCTTTTGGATTTGGTAGAGTATAGAGCATCATCAATATTCAATTGTGTTCCACATGGTCACACAATGATAGCTCTTCCAGAGCCTTCAATTAGATCTGCTGGACCTGATATTGTATTGACACAAGCTTCAACTAATGTTATACTCGAAAAATATTTTCTATTTCGGAGTATAGTGTGCGTTGTTGCACTGTCTGCCAGACATATATCTTCATCATTTATCTTGGGTACAGTCAATGCCTTAGTCAGATCCATGCTTCTTCATATACACAAAATATATATTTCATTACTTCAAACTTGAAATACAAACTAAATTTACATACAAGATAGCCAAAATAAAAACATATTAGAGATAACATGCTAGAGAAGGACGCATTAATTGGTATGGACATTTCCATCACCAATAAAATGATCAATACTACTACTAGTATCAGCAAAGAAATCAGAAACATCAAAGTGAGTAATATCAGTTGGTAAATCGTCATCCACAAAATTCATTTCAATTTCCTTTCATTCTTCCTTATCATTCATTGAGGCACAATAAAGATCAGCTAGATGTTTGGGCATACGATAGGTACGCGACCAATGACCTTTCATTCCACACCTATAGCAAGGCTTGTCATTATATATCTCAGGAGCTTTGTTCTGTAAAGCTTTTTCTTTTGCCTGCTTGGTCGCATTTGAATTCCACTTCTGGTGGGACGGTGTGGAGTTCTTTCTGGGAACCAATGAGGAATTATGACCACCACGATTATTTCTATTGCAACCGTATCCATGACCACCACGACGTCCGTGTCCACGTCCACGTCCATGGCCGTGAAATGATGACACATTCGCTTCTAGGAATGGTACAGATCCAGTGGGACGGGACTGGTGGTTTTGCATCAAAAGCTCATTATTCTGTTCAGCCACCAACAAACAAGAAATCAGCTCAGAATATTTGGTAAATCTGCGCTCTTTATATTGCTGCTGCAGGAGCACATTTGAGGCATGAAATGTGGAGTATGTTTTAAATAAACATAATTTCAATTGTGAGCTGATTTTAAATAAAGCTGAATTGTATTCACTTACACTTTTAAAATCCTGCAATCGCAGGTGGATATAGTCATAACGAGCTTTTGGAAGGATCACAGTTTTTTAATGCTCATATCATCCTTTCAGATTTTTCCATAGTGTAAGTGGATCCTTAACCGTGAAATACTCTGTTTTTAATTCCTCATTGAGGTGATGGTGAAGAAAGATCATGGTTTTCGCGCGATCCTGCAGGGACGCATTATTTTCTTCCTTAATTGTTTCACCGAGATTCATGACATCCAAGTGGATCTCGGCATCAAGGATCCATGACAAGTAGTTTTTGCCCGAGATATCAAGTGCCACAAATTCAAGCTTGGTAAGATTTGACATTATGAACTATAAATGATAAAATAACATAGTTAGAATTATTTCACAAAAAGAATAATCAATTTGAGATTATAAAAATAATGCCGTCACTGTAATGTGATTTGCCAATAAATATATAATGTCAAAAGTTAATTATGCACTTTCAGTAAACAAAACAATAACAAAAAGACAAAATATGTTTACACTAAAAGGCACATATAATTTATTTTTCTACGTTTTGCAAAACTTCAGGTTTGTAAGGGTACTCAGTGTAAATGACTTCAGGTCAAAGAATTTCAGATTCATTTGGACTTTAGGCCAACAAATTTTGCGAAACTTTGGGTTTGCAAAGAGTACCAAATATTTTTGAAACTTCAGGCTCACAAAGAATATACTAATATATGCAAAATTTCGAGTTTGCAAATTAAATAATTTAGTATTTGCGAGACTTCGGGCTCAACAATTTACTTTTCAAGAATGGACAAAAATATTCTAATATAAATAAATAAATAAATAGTTGCGAGACTGCAGGCTCAACAATTTTAATTATATGTAAAATTTGAACAACAGTTTAATATAAATAATTATTTTTCTTACCCTTTGAAGTGAGAAAGAAAAATAGAATTTTTTCTCAGTTGACAGAGCCTCGTGTTGATAACATGTTGTGAATATATAAATATATATATAAAGTAATATTCAGACAGAGATATATTGAGTGAGAGCTTATAGACACAGATAGAGAGTAAAAAAAGTGGGGAAACTATTATTCATTAAACTGCTCCAAAAGCATCAGGCGACATGGCCTTTTATAGGCTCCAAACATTAGCTTCCCAAGCAAGCCTTATTATGGCTTTCATTATAAGCAAAAGTGGGCTTCCTTTGTACGCCCAAGAATGTCCATATTGTGGGCCCCATATATATAACACCATATCTAATTTGCTGATATATATATACATATATATATCTTAGGAGTGACAAACGGGCGGGTTAGTCCAAGTTTGGGCTAGATTGAAAATGAGTCAAAACTTATATTCAACCTATTCAGAACGGGTAAAAAATATATAGGGTCAACTCGTTATAACCCGTGAACCCATTAATTATTATTTTTAAACTATTTTTTATTTTAATTATTTTTAATTTATAATTATAATTATTTTTAATTTTATAAAAATTTAATTTTTAAATTTTTTACTTATTTTTAATTATTTTATTATTATTTTTATTTTAAATTTTTTTCGGAAAGTTTTAAAATTTTATTTAATAACAAATAAAAAAACAATCTCAAACTCAGCAATAGTTATCGACTCGTTTTAGAGAGAGAAGTGAAGAAAAGAGAAGAAATTTCTAGAGAGAGAAACTTAGAGAGATGGGATTAATGAGAGAGAAATTTAGTTTGAGGATCGTGAGTGAGAGATTGTAATATAGAATAGATGCGTGTTGTGTGTCTATTATATGATGGGTGAAATATGAGTTGAATATGGATATTCATAATCAACCCATTTTGACCCTCAAATTAAGTAATTAAAAATTATTCAATTTATTTTTAACCCATTTTAAATATGGTTAACTCAAAATTATTAAAAAGCGGACGGATATGAGCGGGTTGATGGATTGTGACCCATTTTGCCACCCGTACTTACAACAGATCAACGTTCCATATTTACTGTACTAATATATAAACAAATAAACATATCTAAAAAGTTTGCCTCTTGACAAATTAATATGGATAATGAAACTCAAGAAATTAAATTTAATTTTGTACTTTTAATATTACACTTTTTTTTTAATATATTGTTTGCATTTAAGTGTAGTCAAACTTTATACTGATGCTATCTGAGACGACTCGATGAAGGAAAAGATTTTAAATGCTTAATTAAATCTATTATCGTTTCCACTTTTGCTACTGGAGGAGGATGATACAATTATTTAAACTCTATCTTGACAGGAAGGAAAAATAGAGTTTAATTCATCGATCTTGTCACTAAATATGAGGTTGACCTTTGATGAATGGACCAAGAAATTAAACCATTTTTTACAAGGGTCATTATTTATTTATTTATTTATTTTATTTTATTTTTTTTGAATAAATAAGCATGCAACGAAGGAGAAAACTTTACAAATGTATATGGAGCATTCCCAAGGAAACATTGGGCCAAAAGCCCATACCAAAAAGAAATATCAAAAAACTATAGGCAACAAGCCCGTAGCAAAAACTTGGCATTGAGAACTAATTTCAATTCTATTATTATTTAAGTTGGTTTGGTTAGCATGAAGTAGAAGTAGAGTTAGAAGGAAAAGAAATAAATAAATAAATAATATTTTTAGGTGTTTGGTTAGATGGAAATGAAACTTTTGGAATAAGCAGGATTCCAGCAAGTTGTTTATTTTTTTTATTTTCTCCAAAACTTTTCTGGTATAGAATACAAGAAAATTTTAGTTTCTTGAACTTCTAATAGATTTGTATAGGGTAATAATTTAGAAGACATGTTTGTAAAAGGAAATTAATCTATTATATCTAATTTGAGTATGTCTATTAACTTTCCAAATATTGGTTTAACTATATATTTGAAAGGAAGCATTTAAGATTAACTTTAAAAAAAATGATGAAGTCTCCCTATAAACAATTTAAAAAATGGATATAAATAAGAATAAAGTGAAAAAAAACATTCCCTATACACAACTAAATATCTAACAAGTTTGCCTCCTTGACAAATTAAAATGGATAATGAAACTCAATATATTAAATTAAATTTTGTACTTTCAATATTACATTTAAGTGTAATAGCTGATGCTTTCTAAAACAACACGCCTAAGGAAAAAATTTTAAATGCTTAATTAAATCTATTATCATTTTCACTTTGCTACATGACTGGAGGAGGAGTATACAATTATTTAAACTCTATCGATCACGACAGTGAAGGGAAAATAGAGTTTAATTCATCGATCTTGTCACTAAATAAGAGGCTGAACTTTGATGCTTGGACCAAGAAATTAAACCATTTTGTACGAGGGTCATTTTTTTTTTTTTTTTTTTTTTTTGGGTTAAATAAGTATGAGAAAACTTTACAAATGTATATGGAGCATTCCCAAGGAAAACATTGGACCAAAAGCCCATACCAAAAACAAAAAAAAATAAAGGCAACAAGCCCATAGCGAAAAAAAAAAAAAAAAAAAAAAAAAAGGCAACAACAAGCCCATAGCAAAACCTTGGCATTGAGAACTAATTTGGTTATTTTAAGTCTCATTATTCATTAATTACTCTTTCTCTATTTTCAAGAAACGTGAAAAATATAACCCACTTTAAAATAAAAGCAACCTTTTAAAGATAAAATTATCCTTTAAATCTTTTTTAATTATCTTTCTTGTATGTCCTCCCTCAGTCCATATACGCGTGTCTATATATATATATATTTTTTAATGCCTTTGTTTCTTTCTTTTTTATTTCAATTGTGGCCGCTAGTTATTTTTTTCCTTCTTTTTTTTCCTAAATTGTTGCCATTAGCCTTTTTACCCGTCCTTCCTTTCAGATATATATATATATATTCAGTTTATATATATTAAAAGGGGCTAATGGCGAAAACTGAAAATATATATATATATATAGAAACTGAATGGAACGATCGATTTGTCTTAAGGCATATGTAACTATTTTATTTAAATCAACAAAGAGAAAAATAAACTGCTAAAAAAAATCAATTTGTCCTTTAGGCTTCATAAATAGATGCAAGCAAAAATACAAATTATTCTTAATGCATCTAATTTGTTTAATACAATCAAAAAAAAAAATAAATTGTTAAAATAGATCAATTCGTTATTTAGGCTTCCTAAATCCATGTAAGCTAAGCCTAGGAAGAGTTTAAACTAATGTAAAGGAGGCAAAGAAGGGCGCCAAGTAGGTTCGAAGTAAGGTACTATTCTATCGTTTGCCATGACAGTTCCATTTCCATGATACTGAATTCGTTCCACTCTTCGAGTCTCAAAATCATAGCAAAACATGACGCTTCCCCGCCGGAGATACACCAGTTTTGAATTCCGAGGATGAAACGCATTCAGACGAGGATATTTTTTAAGCCGACGAAGGTAAGGATCACCACCAGTGGCGCGATAGTTAATGATGTTCAACATCTTGTAATCCACAACTTCCTTCAGCATCCATTCACTGCTTGGTATAGTGTGACATAAACTATAACTAGAAAGCTTCTTTTTGAGATCCCAGACTATGAATTGAACTTCGTCATTTACGGCAAACCGTAGACAACCATCCGGTGATTGTCCCAATATAAAATTCATAAATGGCTGATGCTCTTTCTTGCTGCAATGAGCAGGCAACCTTATCAGCCAGAGACGATTTTCCCCCATGTTGGGATCATAAGCGACGAAATGACCACTAACTTTCCAGTAGAAGATCCCATCTACTGACCGACCTCCACACGACTTCCCACATGAAAATTCAGATGGAGAAGTGAGAAATGATTCACTCCATTCGCCTGTTCGAGAAGAGAAAGTTTCTATATGTAATCTGTCATATGTGGTTGGCTGCTCTTTCTCAAAGAAAGCTCCAATTACTTTGAAATGTACCGCACCATCTTTGATACATTCTTCACAAGACAAATTCACAAAGGATGGACCGTGTCCATTGTTTGGTGTAGGAAGAGCAAACCATTGGTTTCTGATGGGATTACAAACGAAGTAATTGAAACCCTTGACCGTTTCTAAATTGCATAGTATTAGGCCTTCAGGAGAACTATCTATAACTAAATAGTTTTCAATGTAATCCAACTTTGTAACTTTCCTTTCTTTACAATTTCGAAGGAATGAAAGCTTAAGTATTGACTGATCATTGGCGAGAGTAACCCGAAAGAATCCCAACAATGGGGGAGGAGAATTCTTTCTCTGGGACTGGTAATTGATGCAGAAAATAGGATCAGAGATCAAACGGTTCCATGTCTTGGATACACACTTGAACTTGAAGACGGAGTGTAGAGGCAATCGAAGCAAAATCTCATTTACAAGGTCATCGCAGT